ATCTATCTGCTCATTCTATCTATCTATCTATTTATCTATCTATCTGTATATATGCACGTGTGAATGGATGTGGTCATTATATGTATGTATGTGTGTGTGTGTGTGTGTGTGTGTGTGTGTGTGTGTGTGTGTGTGTGTGTGTGTGTGTGTGTGTGTGAGGTGAAATAGATAGATAGATAGATAGGTAGATAGATAGATAGATAGATAGATAGATAGATAGATAGATAGATAGATAGAATGGGCAGCTAGATACATAGATAGATTAAATGGGCAGATAGATAGATAGATAGATAGATAGATAGATAGATAGATAGATAGATAGATTCATTTTATTAAAAGACCGGAGAGATAGATAGATAGATAGATAGATAGATAGATAGATAGATAGATAGATAGATAGATAGATTCATTTTATTAAAAGACCGGAGAGATAGATAGATAGATAGATAGATAGATAGATAGATAGATAGATAGAATGGGCAGCTAGATACATAGATAGATTAAATGGGCAGATAGATAGATAGATAGATAGATAGATAGATAGATAGATAGATAGATAGATAGATAGATAGATAGATAGATATGAAAAGGACGGATGATAGATAGATAGATAGATAGATAGATAGATAGATAGATAGATAGATAGATAGATATGAAAAGGACGGATAGATAGATAGATAGATAGATAGATAGATAGATAGATAGATAGATAGATAGATAGATATGAGCAGAAGCTGGAATACATAGATAGGTAGAAAGACTTGAGCAGAGGCTGGAATAGATAGATAGATAAATAGATAGACATGAATAGAAGCTGGAATAGAGAATAGATAGATAGATAGATAGATAGATAGATAGATAGATAGATAGATAGATAGATAACCATATGCAGATGCTGGGATAGATAGATGCATAGAGAGATAGATATATATGTCCAAAAGCTGGAATAGATAGATAGATGGGAGCAGAGATTGCGATAAATAGTTATATATAGATAGATATATGAGGAGATAGATAGATAGATAGATAGATAGATAGATAGATAGATAGATAGATATGAGCAGAGGCTGGAATAGATAGATAGATAGATAGATAGGTATGTGCAGACTAATACACACACACACGTACGTATATAGATAGATAATATACATAGATTCATCCATAATGTAAAAATGTAAATATTATGAAGCTATTTTATACAAAACTTTTTGCTGTCACTCTCTCTCTCTCTCTCACACACACACACACACACACATACATACATATAATGACCACATCCATTCACACGTGCATATATACAATGACCACATGTATACACACTAAGTGGCACATGTGTATCTTTGTGTGTGACGTCAGTGATTTTTTCACCTTCTCTTCTCTCTCTCTCTCTCTTTATCATTAGTCCTTCCTCCCCTTCATATTCTTTCCCTTCCTTGTTATCTGAGGAAACGCCCTTTAGTCAAGTGGCTTGATTATCCTCGTCCAATGAAATGCCTTAATCTCCTATGACGTCACAGCGCTTTCCCGCTCAATTCACTTCACGCAAAACAACACAAAGAAGATGTCATTTTTTTTGGGGGGGGGGTCTCCCAAATTTCAAGAAAAACTAAATTCATTCAAGTGAAATCGAAACGAAATCAAATTTAAGTCAGAATTTTTATATCGATTTTCATATAATCGAAATTTCTCTCAAGTTTTCATTACAACAACGAGATTTCCTGTTTTTATATTTTATTATTTTTTAACCGAATTCATATTCAGAGACAAACTTTTTCTTGTTATCTTCTTTTTTTCTCTCTCCGTACAATTTCAAAAAAATGTCTGATCCGAATTTTGTGGTAAAATAAATTCGTTTTTGATTAATATTTCAGATAAAGTTTTTCCAATGATATCAGAAAGATTAAAGATGACGTTTATTTCTATTTATTTATGTCGTCTGCTTATTTCTTTCCTTTCAATCAATCCAATTTGTTTTCTTTTGTTTTTTTCCTCCTTCTTTATTTCGCTTGAAGATAATTTGTAATATTTCCGAAAACTTAATTCACTTCTTAGCACTACTTAAATATATTGGTCCATTTTTATTAAAATGGTGAACATTTTTAGGGGGGGTGGCAATTATTTTTTGTAGATTAAAATAAAATTCATTGGATTTTCTTCAAACGACGACGACATTTTCCAGAAACGAAGAATGATTCATTATGTTTCCATTTATAAAGTGGGGGTCTTGTTCATAATAACAATACCGTGTAAAAACGATCCCTCACTTTGAAAGAATTATTTTACTTAAATTCTTATTTACAAACATTTTTCGCTTCTTTTTTTGGTGTGGGGTGGGGGAGAATATTTTTTTTTTATCTTAAATGAAGAATAAACGAATTTAATTTGACTTTTTTTTTCATACAAAACTTAGGGAAAAGGCTTTGGGAATCCACTCCATACAAAGATTAAATGACATTTCACATATATATTGCACAAAAGAAAAAAGAGACTGTGGAGAGCCACAACCGCTTATCCTTAGGTTCGGAATAAAAGGGTCGAATGGAATTAACGGGACCATTATTATTCTCCCCCTTCTTCTTCTTCTTCTTCTTCTTCTTCTTCTTCTTCAGTAATTATGAAGAAATTTCCATGAAATAAATTTAAGGATACAATACTTTCTTTTTCACCCCTCCCCCTCCCATAATGTCAGCTTCTCTTTTCAAATGCCTTCATTGATTTTATCTTTTCTTGGTTTTCTCTCACCCTTTCTCTCTTTATCGATATCAGAAGGAAAGCAACAAATTAGAAATTTAATTCTTAACAATCCAAGGGAAATAACTCTGATTATTTTTTTTTTTTCTTATTCTCCTTAAATTGATTCTTTATTTGGGGGTTTAACGCCTTTTCTTTTTCTCATTCTATTCAAATCTATCAATAAAATTATCGGAAATACGTTAATAAATCGATTATTAATCAAACACTTGATTATTTATTGATATTTGTGTTTTCATTCCGATAAATGTGGCCGAAAAATTCACACGAAATTGTTTGCTTTTTATTGTTATTTTTGGATACAAAACAGAATCAATCACTTTTGGTATTTGGAGAGAAAAGTGAAAAGAAGGAATTGAAACCTGGAAAATTCCTTTGTAAATAGCTGCAAAAAGTGGAATTTTTTTTTTAATTATAATATTAGACTTTCTAAATAAAAAAAAAGAAAAGAAAAATACATTTTAAATACTTTAAATGTCTTATTTGAACTTAAATTTTCCTTCCATTTCAAAGATAATGGCCTAAAAAGTTAATCCGAATAAAAGGAAAAGTTAATTTCCGTATATAAATAAACTTTTTAGGCATTTTTACAAGTTTGGATGTATTTCGAAGTCTGTTAGTAAATTTAAGGATTAATTAATTGGATTTTCTTCATCTAATGTTTACTTTTACTTAAAATAGAATGAAAATAACGTTTTATTTGCGCACGGCTGCTTGTCGGGGTCAAAGGGTACAATATAAATTAATTCCAATTACACCCCAAAAGGTGCGCGTAAAAGTAAAAATAAAACCTAAAGAAATACGGCAGACCAGCAGTGACATAATAGTTTCTTATTATATTTTTAAAATAAATTTTCTTTAACCAATAATTTGAAAATATATATTTTTTTTAATCTCTACACTTTTATTAAAATTAGGATAATGAATAAATTTGAAGGCAGTAAGTCGCTCCCTAAAGAAAAATATAATGTAAATGTAATTTGCGTTCAATTAACGTGAAAAGAAAATCATTTATTCCAAATGTAACTTTTAGAAAAATGACAATATAAAATATTATTTTCTGCAAATGAATTAGTTTCGTTGCAATTGTGAAATTTTTCTTGGTGATAAGTCGGAGAAATTATGCAGGAAAAAAAAAATAAAAGAATGATTTCTTTCAAAATAATGAAAACTTAAAAGTACAATTTCTGTTTAATGACTGAAGTCAGAATTGGTTTTTATTGTAGAGAAGAATCTGTAAATAAATGCAAGAAAACAGAGACACGCAATTAAACAAACAACCTTAATTATGGATCGAAAAATTGAATTTATTAGACAAAAACTGACTGAACGGAAGATATGGAATTGAATAATACCCTTCCAATTTTGAACAATAGTCAGTCTATGCGTGATATAAGAATTATGCCCTTTTTGTACGTCTGTATCAAAAATAAATTAACCGTTGTCCAGTCTGAAAGAAAAATCTTGTTTTATTAAATTATGCAAGAACCAATTCTCAAAATATATTTTGAGTTTTATTGAATTCATTTCGGAAAAATGCCGGACAAAGTTCCAAATGTTGACATTTGATATTGAATTAATTTTTGACTGAAATAATATTTTTGAGGATTTTTCCTTGTCTTACTCCAAAAACTGGACCGACCCACAAAGAAATGACAAAGTACACACCAGACATAAGAAGTGGAAGGAAACATACGTCCCAAAAATATTTCCTAAAACTTTAATTAAATCTTTTGCCTGATTTGTGGCAATTTTTTAAAAACAAATTTTGCTTTCATTTCAGAAAAAAAAAACATCCATTTTGGTTGTACGCAATTTTATGAACAAAATATTAAATTGCATCAAATCGGCTGGTATTATGTCGAGGAGATTGAACACTAAGAAAGGAAGCTGTCCAGTTTGAGAGCTTCAATAATTTGCAGTGAGAAGACATTTGCTTCCGACTGGAATTGATATATATATATATATATATATATATATATATATATATATATATAATGATAAAGTTAATTGGTAATCCGTATGGATAATTCCGGGGAGGATGTAAATCCCGAGAGCTCAATGTAGTAAACAGAGCAAGGATTAATTAACAAATCGGAGACTTCAGAAAGCCATGGTGATATTTTATATTTCGTGAGACCGATAAAATTCTGTTTCGCTTCATCAGACCTTGCGATTTCAAAACATAATAATAATAATAATAATAATAATAATAATAATAATAATAATAATAATACAGACAATATGATAAATAAGATAATTAAATAGAATCATAATTAAATTAAATTAATGAAAAAAATTTTTAGGACATCACGTGACCACATCTCAACGAAATGGAGAGATTCGCATTTTGTATCCCGACATGTCGTCTTTTTTTATTTTTTAATGTCGTTACGTACTAAATTGAAATAAAAAAATGTTCTTCAAATATGGTACCAAGACGACTGAAAAAAAAATTGTTGGGCTTTTCGAAAAGATTTCTTCAAAATTGGTTGATTGAAAAGGATAAACATTGAAACTCACCAATGACCAGCAAAACGTCAGAGAATTATAAAAAAAAAAAACTTTCATTCATCCAAAAATTGTCTTAATTCTCTTACTTGACTGGAATCATTTATGGAGTCAGCCAGGAGGTCCTCGATAAACCTGAACAGGAATGAAGAGAAAAAAAATCAGTTTATTTATTTTTTTCTTACTCTGTTGTCTATGTCTCGGGATATTTTCTCCCTTTTCTGATTGAATACTAATCAATTATTTCTTGCGATGTTTCCACTGAGTCTAAGCCATCAATATTTAATCCACCGATTGACCTCACATTTTCTATGACAACAGATTCATGAAGCAACGATTTATCCACAAGGATATTGTTACAAATGCTTTTCTCTCTGAATGTCTATCATTATTGACATCTTTGTTGTTATAATCCCGACATTTTGATAATGTTTATTTTATTTCTAATTCTTTCATACCCGGTAAACAATTGTGTCTTAGTGGCTTTACTGCCTTCCTTGGGGTAAATCCAATTAAAAAAAGAGAATTAAGACAGAGAAGTAGGGATTGAGCAGCTCCAAGCCAGATATAGCATCAATAATCTGTGTCTGGTCTAATCTAACACTTTTAAAGATAAAGCATGGCAAGAGGAGTCTGGTACTTCCTGGAGAGACAGAAGGAACTGACCATTGTTCCAAAATCTTTAGCCAAAAGAACATACGAGTTTTGTTTGAGATCTGGAGAGAATCTGAGATCCATGGAGTTTCACTGAGAATGGAGCCATTCATCATGCCTAGAGAAAACTCGGGGTTTTATTAATGACGGTGAAACAATAATAGCTTGATTTTTGAGGTATTGAAAGTTAAAAGCCAGTTATTTCCCCATCGATCTGTTCGATCTAGTTCAACCGAGAGATCAGCAGAGGTTCCGATCATCAAGGCGTTTTTAAATTCCACCCATAAATACGTATGCCCAAGTTCAAATAATATAATTTACATTGTATTTACAGGATTAATAATATACTTTTAAGTCTTCATCTGAGAACTTCCACCTCGAATAAATTTTGAATTTGTTAATATCCAAAACATTTCTAGGGATCCAGTTTATCTATAATTGTACACCATTTAAGAATTGACTGTATACCTACAAACTCTGTCAAATACTCACCATTTTGAAATTCTATAGAAAATATGGAAGTAAATTAATCTTACAGCACATTTCACTAATATATTTATTCACTTATCACCATATTACTCAGGGGTCCACTGATGGTTCTAATTGAGTCTATAATCATTGATTGTCAACTAATAAAAACACAGGATTGTAGAATAGATTAAATCTGTTTGTCAAAATCCCGTATTTAGCCACCGACAGTTTTTTGTTGCTTTTACTTCTGTCAAGGTGTTTCTAAATGAGTGGGGCAATGTCATAAATTATCCCAGAAAGGAATACTTGGATTAAAATTAAAAACAAATCTAAGGGAGATAACCATTGTTATTTTAAGGACGACTGCTCTGTAGAGTAGCAATGGAGATTAAAATTTCCTTTACAAATTTTCTTTTGTCGTTATTTACAAAGATTAAATAAGAAAAACAGAAAAATCTAGTGTATCTGTTGTAACCTAGGAAAGGTTAGTGAATAAGAATAACATAAACGAAGGTTGGAAATAAACGATAATATTTATTACAGGAAAGGCATACAAGATTTGCCAGTGGCGTGGAGAAAGTAAGCAATTGCTAATGGTGAGCGAGAAATGAATCAAGGTGAATCACAAGTGAAAATATTTATTGCAAATGCATTTATGCACAAATGTGGCACAAGGCCTAAAATGGAGATGAGGAGGGCTGGTCTTTGCTTCTCTTAAAATGAAACTTATCTCGCCAGAAACACTGACACGGACATGCTTCAATAACCTTTGCACCAAAACATCACATTCTTGCTTACCCTTCTTACTACAACCACCACAATACCTCAGAGACTCGATGAAGTCCTAACTAAATCCTATATGTGCAATTTTTGTCTGTGGGGGTGGGGAATACAAAAACAACTTTTAATCACAGAATCTGCATTTTGGGCTAACACAGTACTTTAGTATATGTGCTTGATAATCCCTAGTTAACAAGCATTGGTTCTTTGCAGCAAGGATAAAACCTTCAGTTTCCGCTTTCAACCCTGCACTGCGTAGCCACTGATGGGTACGGGTTTTGTCTACGTCAGCTTGTTTGGTACGGGCAGAGTATTGGCCATGAAGCTGTTTATCTTGCCATTGCTTCTGTATCTGGTCGGTTGCATTTGTCTTTGCTTTCTTTTTTTTTAACTATTTTGCAGCTCCAGCCGGTGTACTGTGCTTTACTTGTATTTCCGACCCCATTTGAAACTCCATTTTGAATTTTTTGGCTTCTTTTATTACGGAGTAGAGACGCTTACTACTTTCATGCTCCTTGACGCATACCATCATCCGGTCTTCTGTAGTTTCCAAATATCTTTGGAGGCCAATTGTTGTAGTTTTGTAGGACAGTTCTAGTTGAACTAATCCTCTGCCTCCTTCGGATCTGGGCACATACAGACGATCAACATCAGCTTTGGGATGATGCATGCGGTAGCAAGTGAGAATCTTTCTCGTTTTGGCGTCCATTCGCTTAATTTCAGCTATGGTCCAGTTAAGGACATTAAAGCTGTATTGCACCACAGGGACAGCCAATGTGTTTATGGCTGATATTCTGTTTTTGAGTTTAGCTCAGTATTTAGTACCAGACGTACACGCCTGTAATACTCTTTTCTTATTTTTTCCTTCATTTGGGGGTGTTGTATGCCATCTCCTTCGCTAATTCCTAGGTACTTATAAGCTTCATCATGCTCCAGTTCCCTAATCTTTGTGACAAAATCTAAATCTATTAAGGGTGTTTCAGTAATTCTACCTTTCTTGAATGTTACTTTTGCACATTTATTATTATTATTATTATTTCGCTTGATTTCTTTCCATGTCCTGAACAGACACCTCTGGTCAGAAATACAAAAATAGCATCATGGAATTTTCCATTTAAAAAAAAAGTGAGGGTCTTGTTCATAATATCAATATTGTGTAAAATCGATCCCTGACTTTGGAAGAATTATTGAACTTATTTGCTATTTACAAACGTTATGTTTGAAACTCCTCCTTCATCAAAGATATCTGCATATTTTAATTAATTTATGTAACTTTTTTCAGACAAAAATTTATGTTTCTTTCTTTTTCTTTTTTAAACAAAGTTTTTGTAATAAAATAAATATTTTAAAAGGTCTAATGTGTAAAATCAGGGATCGATTTTACACTTTATCGATATTATAAACAGGACCCTCTTTTTTCTGGCAGTCGCTTAAGAGTCTAATAAATACTAATCTACAAAAATAGTTCACAGCCCCCACCCACCAAAAAAAAATGACCCAATGAGTGGACCATTTTATTTAAATGGGTTCAATTTAGAAATTTCTTAAAGCGTGTCCGGTGAAAGGAACACTGAAGCAATTTAATTAACATCTCAATGTTGAAAATAATTGTGAAGACAGAAAATTGGAGCTTCTCTCTCACTCTCTGTTACTTTTTACCTTTTCCTTTCCTTCCTTTTTCAATTTTTTCTCTCTTCTCTCGATCTCTCTCTCTCTCTCTCTCTCTCTCTCTCTCTCTCATTATGTTTAAACAATTTCTTTCTCTCCTTTGTTTCTTTCGATTTCTCTCACTTTTCACTTTCTATATTTCCTTCTCTCACTCTCTCTATATATTTTATTTTTCTCTCTCACTTTCGCTCTCTAACACCCCCGCCTTTATTTATTTGTGATTTTAAAAGAAAATTTTTCAGGAAATCGATTTGTTTTGCTTGTGAAAAAAATTCGGGCCCCTTTATTTTCGGTTTTTTATGCTTTTGAACTTTGACCTTATTTTTTTTTATTTTTCTAAAAAGATATTTTTGTATTTGCAGTTTCAGATTTCATTTTTCCAGAACGAAATCTCGAAATGGCTTCGTCATAGAGAGATAGTCCCCAAGGGAATTGGAACTTCAAAGCGAATTCCGCCTGCAGGATTCGAACCTGAGGTCGATTCATTCGATTGCCGTCAGCGACGAAGACAGTCACGTGTTTGTTGTTGATGGACGCGATAAATCGATCAAGGAATTCGGCGAGACGTATGCCAATGTCTCCTGATGGGCGAAGGAGAGATATTCTTACCTTGGAACATTTGTTGTCTTTTAAAAGACATTTTGGTTGTTTGTGGATCTTTGTGGTTGCCTGGGTCGAGAGGGAGGGGAGACTTTCGTGGTTGTTTCCGATTATGTTGCCGTGGAGGGGAAGACTTTTGTTTTTGGTGCGAAAGAAAAGTCCACCATTTTTAGAAAAAGTAAAAATAATCAACACAAAAGAAAATCTTTTTTCTTTGTGTCAAATGGACGAACAAATTTTCGTTTGTGATTCGGATTTTGAAGAAATTATTTGTTTTTCTAAAGTAGGAAAGAAAATAAAAACAGTGAAAGTTGAGAAATCTATGGGTTCAGCTTCTCATTCTCGCTTTTTCCTTTGTGCTGATCCTACATCCGGGAATTTGTTGGGGACATGTGAAGGAATGGCCGAAATCTTTGTCTTTAATAAAAATGGTCAAATTCTTCAAAAATTGAAAACTGAAAAAGAAATTTGCGATTTTTGTGGAGATGAATTTGGACAGATTTATTTTTGCAACTTGCAAGAAATTTTTTCTCTTTTGCCAGAAAAAAAAACTTGTGTACAAATTTCCGAAAACATCAGATTTTTATCTGAGGAAGATTTTTGCTTCTCGAAAAAAATTCTTTGTTTGTTTAGAAAACGATGGAAAATATATAATGAAAATTTTCACCATTATTTGAAAATATAATTTTTTTTTTCTTCAAGTATTTTACAAATAAATTCATTTGAATTAAAATTCCTCTTTTTTTATTTAATTCTTTTTAATGTGAATAAATTTTCGTTTGGAAAATTTTTGTAAATGATTTCCCAATATGAGTTATGTATTATAATGTTCATTTTCCGAAATATGAGTCGAGGCAAATAACCATATAAAAATAATTGTGTAATAATTTTATGGAAAAAACGATAGATTTTACAAAATATTTTCGTTTGTTATCATTTTTTTTTTCTCCGACCATGTCTGTTGACAAATACATTTTAGGAGGCGGCGGCATCTTAAATTATTATTGCTTTTTATTTACAGACATCGTAGTTGGAAGAGTTTTTTCTTTCAAGGATCATAAGTTTGTTTTGACTTTTGCTCGATCTTCGATAATTATAATAAAAATTATGAAAATAAAAACATTAAAATGATTTTAATGAACTAAATGAATTCTGGTATTAAATATCGTAACATTGGTATAATGAGTGACGTGCTGATGTTTGTGGACGTTTGGTGACGCCCTGGGCCAACTCTTTGAAGGCAAACAAATCAGGCCTAATGCTGATCATTTTGAGAAAGGAAGACATTTTAAATAAGTAAAAATAGATGAAACATTAAATAAACAATTTATTCAAATTAAATATAAAATAAATCTTTATGTAACTTATAGTGGTCACTCACATCATAGCAACAGAAGCTAGCCTCGTGTTCACAGAAATAAAACTTTACTTGACAGAAAATAAAACATTCTGAAATAGCAGAAAAATTTTATGTTAATTTGATGCAATTTATTTATACATTCTTTGTATAAAATTGTTTTTTTATTGTAACTTGAAGAAGACTGACATACAGTCGAAATATTATTGAATATTCTTATACACTGCTTTTTTTTCTTAAATCGCGTCATTCTCTTTGTTTTCATTGTTATTATTAATATCATTATTTGTTTCTCATTTTGCAAACAATTGGGGATTATTATTATTATTATTATTATTATTATTATTATTATTATTATTATTATTATTGTTGTTGTTGTTGTTGTTGTTTATGTTTTCTGTTTTTTTTTTTAATCCTGTAGAGTTGAGTCCAAACTATCGTCCTTTGGCTCTATAGGGGGATTTCATTGACAGCACTTTATTTAATATATGGGATGTTCCTAGTAGGGCGATTTTCTGGACGACTTGTATGTTTGTATTACCTGGGACACTCTTAGTAAAATTGTCCATTGCTTTTCTCACGAGGCCCAGTGATCCGATTACTATTGGTACGACAGTCTCGGTTTTTATTCCCCACATCCTATTAATCTCGATCTCCAGGTTCTTGTATTTGGATAATTTCTTGATAATTTTTATGGACATGTTTCTCTAAGATGTTATGTCAATAAGCATAGACTTCCTAAATTTCTTGTCTTTTATAATAATATCAGGTCTATTGGCTTTTATTTCCCTGCCAGTTTGCATTGGCATGTCCCAGAGGATAGTTATTGGGTGGGGGGACAACTGTGTCTGCTTGGTGGACATACCATCTTTCAGTGATTTCGATTTTCTGCTTCTTGCATATCTTTCAGTGCACATATGTTGCTACCTTGTTATGTCCGGATATATTCATTTCTTGCCAGTTCTGGACATCCTGAGATAATATGGAAGACTGTTTCATCATATTTTCCGCAGATCCTTTATTTCAGATTACTTCCATCCTTGATTATGTGATTGTGATAGGATCTGATTGCGAGGCTGTGGTCCTGAGCTGCAATAATTAAACCTTCTGTCTCAGTTATCAGCCCGGAGTTCACCTCAACCAATGAGGTGTTTTCTGTTGATCCACATCTGTTTCTTTCTTTCTTTCTTTTTATGTATTTGCAATCCAACGCCTTTTCCTCCCAGTTTTTTGTTGTAATATCATTTGGCCAAATTGTTTTGTCTTCTGTTTTGGCATAGATTGTATTTGATTCGATTTTTGTTGGTAGGATTCCAGTTATATTAAATTGTTTCTCTAAGAGCGCATCTTTTTTGTTGATGGAATGGATTTGGTGTTTTACTATTTGTAAGAGGGGGGTGTCCCAATTCGATTTTATGAGGTAGGCATCCAATTCGATTGTTGCAGTTTTTAGAGTTAATTCAAGTTGGATTAGACTTCGACCTCCTAAGGTCCTTGGTAAATACAACCAATCAAAATCTGATTTCGTGTGGTGCATCCTCATTGGGGTTCTGATTTCGTGTGGTGCATCCTCATTGGGGTTCTGATCTAGGGTGGTGCATCATTTGATTCTCATTCATTTTACAAACAATTTAGGATTATTTATATCATCATTATTATGTATAACGATGCTGGTTCGAATTTGGCTGATTACGGCGCTTCACGGCTTCACTTTTAATGACTTAATTGCACATTGTTGTGTCTGTTCTTTAGAAATATAATGGGATTGTTTCTCTGTTTCCTTTTTGCACACTTTTGAATTCAAACTTGTCCTTCTTCTAGATTGGTTGCCAACGAAGTCGTCAAAGCCTAACATATGATATTATTAATCCCATTAATCTTCGAAGGAAGAAGACATTCTTGCTTTTCACAAGGGAAAACAAAAAGCCAAAATCTGAACTCAATCCTCCAATGTTTATTTGTACCTAGTCAATATTCTCATTTAAAAAAAATATTTTAATCACATATCTCGAGGTAAGAAGAGATTCAATTTTTGTTGCCTTCTGTGGCAAGAAGGTGGTTCCTTCTAAGAAGAAGAAAAAATATCTGTGCAAATGAAGAAGGAGACCATTCAAAAGAATGAAGATGATACCTGTGTTTCTGACCTTGCCAATCTATACAGATGTTCAGCATCAACAATTTGCATTATCCTAAAGAAGAAGATAGAAATAAATAAAAAAAGCTTGATGTAGCCAAGGGAGTTAGTATAATTACCAAGCATCATCCAAAAGCCCTTGATGATGTTGAGAAGCTGTTGTTGGTGTGAATGAATGAGAGAGGCAGCTACGAAGTGATTCTGTGTCTGAAGATATGACATATACAAAGGCAAGGGCAATGGACGTGGATCTTATCAGAAAAATACCAAGCACGTCTTCTGAAGATAAAAATGCATTTAAGTCAAGCCGAACATGGTTTGAAAAATTTTAAAATAGGACCAGCATATACAGTGAAGTGAGACATGGAGAGTTTGCGAGGTCTGATAAAAGCTGACTTGTTTCAGAGCTGTTTTTGAAGTGAGTGAAAATCCAAACCTGACCCTAATAGAATTCTGGAAGGATCACTTCAATATTGTAAATTGCATAAATCTCATTGTTTATTAACCTGTCTGTATGTTTGTCCCTCATCCTGTCTATCAGTTTGTCAAACTGTCAGTCTATTAATCACCTTTGTCTATCGGCCTGTCTATCAATCAACCTTGTCTGTCTGTCCGTCTGTTTATCAGCCCGGATATTTCTCTATCAGTTTGTCTCTCTACCTGTCTGTTTATCAGGCTGTATGTCTGTCTGTCAGTCTATCACTCTGTCTATCTGTATGTATATCTATCAACTTGTCTGTTTTTCTATCAGCCTTTCGGTCTATCAGTCTGTGCCTCAGCCTTGTACATCTATCTATCTATCTATCTATCTATCTATCTATCTATCTATCTATCAGCCTGTCTGTCTCTCAGTGTGTCTATCTGTCCAACTTCTCTTTACAAGTCTATCTATGTAGACTGATTTTATCCCTAGAAAAAATTGGATTCTTTATAAAGTAAATGACTTAAATTTATTTGCTTTTCATTCTATATTGACTTCAACACATAAAATAAATTCTTAGGATTGGAGAAATTAGAGATTGCATAAAATCCTTCTTAGTTTTTGAAATATAATTCCGTATATAAATATAAGTTGATATATATATATATATATATATATATATATATATATATATATATATATATATATATATATATATATATATTACATCTCGACAAAGAGACAAAGTCACCCCCAAAAAGAATAGATGAGTCTTATAAATATTATCTCTACTCTGGTTCGACCAGTAAATCTTCAGCTTGCTACAATATTTATTTTAATTTTTTTGCATTGCTTGTTTTGCCGAAATTTGATCTGTTTGAAAGTATCTTGTTTGATCCGTGATACTGTATAAATGTTTCCTACCAAGAGAAATGCATTTCTTTAACAATTTATGTTAATATGTTTTATTCAGAATACGATCTTAAGCACGATACCCCCACCCGCATTACACACACGCACTTTCAAGCAGGATGTAATTAATCCTGCTCAGAATATCACGGGTAGGATAAATGATTGAAATGCCTCCATTGTCTCTTCACTTTAATGATTCCATTATGTAAACGCTGGCAGAATGTGAAAAAAGAAATGGAGTAATTGGTTATAAAAAACAACAATTTTTCTCGATTCGATGAAGAGAAGAGAAAGAGATGACATGTAAAGACAGGGACAGAAAATTGTACTCAGAGGAGCAGAGAAAAAAATGCCTCTGTATCCATAAAGGCACACCCAAGCAGAGCAGAAATATGTAGGTGCGCCATATCTTTAAATACAATGTGTATCTACTTGTTGGCTGTATATCTGCATACCTCTCTCTCTCCCCTCTCTCTCTCCCCCTCTCTCTCTCTCTCTCTCTCTCTCTCTCTCTCTCTCTCTAACAATGAACATCTACTTAAGTGGCTAACATGAAATCCAGGACAAAGAGATAAACATGTAAAGTTTTTTTTTCACAATAAAGGAAATAATATTAAAGACACAAACAATTCATATACATTGTAGAAATCCTTTTACTCGGCTTTTTATTAAATGTCAAAATTCGGAGTTTCGGGATTCGATAAAATAACATCAAATATTTTTCTGGGACAGCTCGTAATTCGGCCTTTTACAATAATCCAACGACTTTCATTGAAAGAATCAAATCACACAAATCCGCATTCTCTCACATTCTCTCTTTTCCAAAAACATAAAATGAATATAAATTAATTAAATGAAAGAGAAAAGGGCAAAACTCATGAACGAATTGGAATTTATTTTTTTAAGCGCTTCGCAGTCTTAGCAACATTAAACAAAAATCAACGATGTTACATTATTGCTGACCCTTTAAGCACTTATCATGAATTATGATGTTGTTGAAAGTGGATCTGTCATCGAGAAATTGCCCATTGATTGAATTGATATTCTTGGAAATAATGACAGCTTTTGCGACTTTTTTTCTTACTATCGCTGACATGATAAGCAAAATAGTTTCATTATTAAAATTTTGGTTTGGTTTGTTTTACGGCATATCAACCACAATGGGTTATTTAATGCCGACAACTTTTATTGCAAGTAATTTTTGTTCTTCAAAAATCTATTCTGGTAATATTTGTTTTTCAAAAATATATCGCAGGTAATATTTTTCAAAAATGTATCAATGGTAATTTTTTTTCAGAAATCTATATCTGGTAATTTTTATTTTTTCAAAAATGTATACTTTGGTTTGTTTTGTTTTGTTTTGTTTTACACAGCATATGAAAATAATAATAGTTCTTGTGGGAATATAATATATTCAATATATGTGTCATTTTCATAAAAGTCTGGTGTATTGAAGTTGAATAGTCGATGGTCAAGAATATAAAAGCAACTTTACTGAGAGTCTAGATATATGTATATCATTATAGTGATCAAATCGAGAAAAAATGATTTTATTTATGTACACAATGGTATATTTGCCAGGCAATCTCCATGGTTATCACGGTTAGATCGAGAGGAACCCAGCAATCACAAATCTATTTTGAAGGGTGGACTGCATTTGAAATGGGGGCAAAGTTTTTGATTTTCTTATCACTGACAAACGATTTGATCAGTCCGCCATTACTTCTTCATATCAATGTTATCACGGATTTAATTCCTATTAAATACATTCTAAATTTCAATTTCCATGAATTAGAACTTAAATTATTTTCATTAATTAATATTTAAGCATTTGTTGACTTTTATGACATGACTTAACAATGGGGCCCAAAAAACGATGGTTGGAGATATCAGGGGTAAGACGCGTCGGCTCTGATTATACTACTACTGCTACTTATATTACTAGTACTTGTGGGAATATAAGCGTCATTTTTATAAAAGTCAGGTGAATCGAAGCTGAATAGTCGATGGTCAGGAATAAAAGCAACTTTACTGAGAGTCTAGAGATAATAAATCATTTCAAGTCCTAATTTCATTTTACTTTTTGCTTTAAACAATTGCTTATTATGTCAACAATAATTAATTACTAATTATTATCGTAAAAGTCGTGTGATTAGAAGTTGAATTGTTGGTGGTCATGAATGAAAGCAACATTATTGCGAGTCTAGGGTCAATAGATAATTTGATGTTCAAATTTAATTGGAATTTCAACAAGGTTGGATTTCATTAAAAGGAAATTTTAATAATGAAACAATTTTGCTTTCATGTCAACAACGGTAAGAAAAATAAAAACTTACAAATTGTTCCGGTCTTAATTTACAAGAACGTCAACTCAATCAGTATGCCATTGTTCGATGACAACAACATTTTCAATATAATTGATGTGAAGGGTTTTTCAAAGGGTCACGAATGACGAAAGGTCAATGATTTTCATTTCATCTTGATCAGACTTTGCTACGCGATTAAGCTTATTTTTTATGTTCGAGAATCCGATTGACACTTCATGGGAATATATATATATATATATATATATATATATATATATATATATATATATATATATGTATGTATGTATGTGTGTGTGTGTGTGTGTGTGTGTGTGTGTGTGTGTGTGTGTGTGTGTATATATATATATATATATGAATGTATGTATGTATGTATGTATGTATATATATATATATCCGGGTCTAATATGCAATTTTTGACAAGACGTGAATGTGTGTGTCTATCTGTACATGTCTTTGTATGTGTGTGTGTGTGTGTCTGTGTGTGACTCCAGAGACCAAATGACCTACGAAAACCACTGAATTTTTTGTAAACCTTGGAATTAAGTTGGTGGTTATTTTTGGTTTTTTGAGTTTGAAGTTTTTAATGTTTTTTTTTTTGGTTTTTTTTTTTGTTTTTTTTTGGTTTTTTCTTGTTTTTGTTTTTTTTGCGGGTCTTAAAAATTAAAGAATTCAATAATTTTCATTTCAAGTTACTTATATTTGCAGTATCAGATTTTTATCAAGATTTAACTCATTTTCAGTCTATTGCACATAAATTTTAGTTACTTTTTTATTTTTCGTGTCTCCAACTTTATTACTCAGACCAGGGTAGAGGCTGTTCAGACTGAGTGGAAGGAAAATGCATTATTCCAGTGTCGTCTTTCGGACACACTCAAATTGGATGTGTGCTTGTCTGTGTGGTTTGTATATATGTGAATTGATTAATTCACCCCCAAGAAAGGGTCTACTGTCAGTGAAAGAGAACGGAAAGGGTTTTAGAAGGCCGGAGTATGAACCGGACGGTTATGTGTATAGTTATGCATCTATAGATAGATAGATAGATAGATAGATAGATAGATAGATAGATATTAAAACGACTGTGATAGATAGATAGATAGATAGATAGATAGATATGAATAAACTAACATAAAAATACATATATAAATATACAGATACATACATGTAGATAGATAGATAAATAGATAGATATGAATAACCAAAAGACATATATCTGTATATAGATATATATAGATAGAGATGAACAGAAATATATCTGTATATATATATATATATATATATATATATATATATATACAGATAAAAAGATAGATATAGACTAAAAATATATATCTGTATAGAGATGAATATGAATAGAAAAATATATATATATATCTTCAGATAGATAGATAGATAGATATGAAAAAGACGCAGATAGATAAATCGATAGACAGACTGATAGATAGTCAGATATAACGATAGATACATGAAAAAGGATTGAGCTAGCTAGATTGGAAAATGAAAAGGGAGATAGATAGATAGATAGATAGATAGATAGATAGATAGATAGATAGATAGATAGATAA